AATTAGGTTTTTCACAAGCTATTTATTGAAGTTTTATCAGCTAATCAAAACAAGAAACGAAAACATTTAAAGGTCGGCACATTTTTTTGCAGGTGTCGACGCTGGGGGCTCGCCCGACAGCGCCATCTGCAGCGAAAATATTCCCGACATAATGGATTGTTTTCTGCGAGCGATGACGGACTATACGCATGACAGCCGGGGGGACGTGGGAGCATGGGTGAGGGAGGCGGCCATGTTGGGTCTAAAGGAGCTCATGCTACTTATCGCGGCTGCTGAACCTTCACTCATCTCCCCTCAAATGTACGTATATGTGTGTGTGCGTGTGTGCGTGCGTGTGTTCGTGCGTGCGTGCGTGAGTGAGTGTGTGCGTGCATGCGTGTGTTTGTAACCACTTACACCTCAAATGTACGTACCTATTTTAACCTTGCCCAAAACCTTAAAACTGTACCTTAAACCCCTAAGCTTAAAACTATACCTTAATCCCAACTCTAACACGATACCCTAACCCTAACCTAAACACTATACCTTTACCTTAGCCCTAACACTATATCTTGGCCCTAATTTTCACACTATACCTTAACCCTAATTTTAACAATGTATCTTACTCTACCTTAACACTACACCGGCCTTAACCCTAACCTAAACACTATACCTTAACGCTAATTCTCACACTATAGCTTATACCCCCAACCCTAACACTGTACTTTACCCCTAACCTTACTCCTAACGGTAACCCAGCAATCAGATCAGTCAGTAGGTATATAGTAGCTGCAGGGCCACCGTGATCATGAGGGATGTTATCGAATCAGTAGTGTATAATATAGACACTATATAAGTATATTTATTTTTTTTATTATTATTTATCGCTTGTAGGTGCCTAGATGGCACATAAGGCAGTGCCAAGAGTTCCCCAACGTCGTCGGTCCGCTGCTACTGGCCTCAGCGTGTCCCATGACCGGTCACACATCCGCATCTCCCTCTCGAGGGTCTTTCTCCATACTATATAGATCTATATTATACACTCTTGTTCGTATCTTTGAAAGTTCGTAACTTGAGCGTTTGTAAGTAGGGGAGCGTCTGTATTATGACACTCCTGTTCGTATCTCCTGTCTCTGAAGTTCGTAACTTGAGCGTTGTTGTAAGTAAGAAGCGCCTGTATTACCACCTTTGTTCGTATTCTGAAGGTTCGTAACTTGACGTTTGTACGTAAGGGAGCGCCTGTATATAACACTCTGGTTCGTATCTCTGAAAGTTCGTAACTTGAGCGTTTGTAAGTAGGGGAGCGCCTCGATATTATCACCTCCTGTTCGTATCTCTGAAGAGGTTCGTACTTGAGCGTTTGTAAATAAGGGAGCGCCTGTATTATACCACTCTTGTTCGTATCATCTGAAAGTTCGTCAACTTTGAGCGTTTGTAAGTAAGAGCGCCTGTATATACACTCTTGTTCGTATCTCTGAAAGTTCGTAAACTTTGAGCGTTTGTAAGTAGGGAGCGCCTGTATCTATACACTCCTGTTCGTATCTCTGAAAGTTCGTACTTGAGCGTTTGTAAGTAGGGAGGCGCCTGTATTCTACACTCCTGTTCGTATCTTCTGCAAGTTCGTAACTTGAGAGGCGTTTGTAAGTTTAGGAGCGCCTGTAAATTATACACTCCTGGTCGTATCTCTGAAAGTCCGTAACTTGAGCGTTTGTAAGTAGGGGCGCCTGTACATTATCACTCGTTGTATCTCTGAAAGTTCGAACTTGAGCGTTTGTAAGTAAGGGAGCGGCCTGTATTAATACACTCCTGTTCGCTAATCTCTGAAAGTTCCGATAACTTGAGAGCGTTTGTAAAGTTAGGGAGCGCCTGTATTATACACTCCTGTCGATCTCTGAAATTCGTAACTTGAGCGTTGTAGTATGGGGAGTCGGTCCTGTATCTTTTTATTTTTCACTTTTCTCTTTTTTGTTTGTTTATTTTTCTTGAATTAGTTTTTTTTTTTTCGTACTTCTTTGAGTTTAGTCTGTTTTTTTTGTTTTTTCAGTTTCTTCTTTTTTAGTGTTGATGCATATGGTGGCAACGAGAGGTACGTCTAATTAAGCGATATCATACTCCATATCATTTCATCTTTTTAACTAGCGATACCGGCGTTGCCCGGAAATCATGGCGTTACTCAGTTGCTCTCGATGCGTCTTCGGTTTTGAAAGGTACAATACATCGCGACAAAAAACTCCAAACTATCTAATCTATTCCCATAGACATCCCTATTTCATGCACATGCCACGTTCTCCATTTCATGTCCTGATCACATGTCCCAGATGCCCAGTATGCCGCCCACTCGTATCGCCATTCCATTGACGAGCTCAATGCCTCATTAGTCCAGTGCATGCAACATGCTCCTATCGCTACTCAGCAGTGGCCATATTGCTCAACCAGTATGAGTCAGCCGACTCCTATTGTATTTACCCCTCGCTGAGTCTCAGCTACTACCACGGTCTATAGTTGAAACTTTGTCGACGACGTCGCATTGGGGTGTAGGCCCATCCCAATTGCGCCGAGCGAACCGCCTGCATTATACCATCCCATCCCATCCTCGCCATAACAGTAACGATAAATATCATGCTATAGAAGAAGTCTAAAAGATCTTAGAGAAGCACTATATATGTAAGTATTTTATAACAGTGTAGCGAGCGCTGTAAAGTAAATAACATATTCAACCTGTAATTCGTAAATGCTCACCAAGAACTAAAGAACGGTATGGTACCCAGTAGAAGCAGCATCCCAAAGGGATATAAGAAGAAGTGCGAATGTTTCGTAAGTCTAGCCGTGGGACCGCTACCGCACAGAGCGTGCATAATTACTGAACAGCCGTCGTACTGGGGACTGTGATTTCGTCTAGCACGATCTCTTAGGCCCTACTGTGCGATATAAGCGGATTATCGTACTCATGGTATGATTCCACACGTGTAACTGTAGGAGAGTTTGTAGCGCGACGCGGCCATCTCTTGATGTATATAGTGATTTTTTATCAATACTTTCATTCTTAACTTGTTAACTTTTTTTGATCAATTTTTTCCGCGTTGTCAATGAGCATTCACCCCTGTTCCCAACGCAACGTGCTGAGCGATGTCTGTAAGATATAATGGCATGCTTAGTGTTTTCTCTCTAAGGTCATGGCACGAGCACTCCTTCTCTTGATTCTGTTATTCTCCGGAAAGTACTGGAACTATACGTAACTGAGAGCGTTTGTCAAGTTAGGGAGCGCCTGTATCTGACACCATGTCTAACTATTAACTACGCTAGGTACTCTTAGATACCTCGTAACAACTGCCCGGAAAGAATTCGTAGCCATCTAAAATCTAGACTTCGATGTAAGTTACTGACAGAGTAAAGTTAAGATATGTTCATGCAACTAAAAGGTGAAAAAGGAGGAGAGAGCAAGAAAACACATCGTTAGGGATAAACAAGAGCAACATTCCTATATTCGTGAGCAGGGTGAAACATTAGGGGAGCTCACAGTTTGGCTGACGGTATCACTTATCGAGTAGTTGCGAAAGGTAAAATACCGTAAGCCAAATAAGGTCATCGTGAGTCTGCGCATGATCCATATCCACATCGCACATTCGCGTATCCATCTCATCGCGCGATAGACCATGCTGGTACTCTCAGACTCCCAGTAGGCGCATCTCATGCCATTCTCGCTGCGCATAGTAGGGAGCGCCCTTTACGTATCACCTATACACATATACACACTAAGTAATATAATGAGTAACATAGACATCTAAACATTCACATAAATTGAAACCTAGTTATATGATGTAGTAAATAATAAATACCTTGTAGTAGCAGAAAAAAATAGTAATATGTAATTTTTGTTTCAATTTGCTAAACTGTACATTTTTTTTTATAAATGAATGTAGAAAAAAAAAATTTTGAAAATTAACGCTGAAGTGGCAGAAAAGTACATCTAAAGACTCACCAACGCTAAAGGGAAATTTTTTTCTCAAGTGAGACTTCGCAACACAGGAATCTTCGGGGGGTTATGAAACGGGCTCGCTACGACTACACTACGACGGCAGTCAGAGATGGCGTATAATTCCCACGTATGTGATGTGGATCTGTATCCGCATGCACTGCACTCCTCCCCGGGCCACTTGACGAATCGGCATTTTTTCGAATTTTTCACTTGATACTAAATTTTTAAACTTTTGTTAAATTTTTGTCTCAGCCAGAACCCCCTCCCCGACCTGGTGATTCTGAATATACTCTTCAGTTAGCGCGATTGAGTGACCAAAATCAGGGCGAAAAGCGAGGACAAACAAACACACAGCACACACACACACAAGATTCCGAACTTATAGTATAGATAGATGCTGGATATGCTGGTACTGTTCCCGATTTTCTGCTCTCTTGTCAAGCACATAAAATTAATATCAAAAAATAAACAAACAAAAGAAGAGATTCGCGTCACTTTTGTGGCTTGTATTACACACCCCACCAATGAAACAATTCGTCGCACTACCCCCCGCCTGTAACTTCAAAAGCAATACCGCCGCCCCCAAACGGGTACGTATGCCAGGCTGTATACATGATGCATATATAGGGAGTTCTCCCATATATACTCTCGTTTCTATAATGTACGTCGATGGTTGCTCAATTAAAACTGAATTCTTCTTACTCACTCATTTGTGTCCTTTTTTTGTGGTGAGCTACAGTGTCATTGACACTTTCATTGTGGTTGTTGTGGTTGTTGTTGGTGTTGTTGTTGTTGTGGTTAGTGGTGGTGGTGGTGGTGGTTGTTGTTGTTGTTGTTGTCGTTGTCGTCGTCGTCGTCGTCGTCGTTGGTGTGGTGGTGGTGGTGGTGGTGGTGGTTGTTATTAAGTTAGAATGGGAATGTTAGGTAAAATTGAATTTTCTGATATTTCCTTGTATTAATATTTCATATTCTCTGTTTGTGTATAATTCTGTGTCTTTTTTGTAGCCCGCCGATTCCTCATATTCCACACAAGGAAGAGTTACTA